TAATAAGTAATTAATATAGTATAAAGTATACTAAAAATATTCTTTAATAATTAACTAATTATTTAAATTAATTAATAAAGATTTAATTTAACTATTTATTAAAAACCCTTTTTATATATTTTTATTTTATTTTTTATTATTTTATTTAAATTATTTTACTTACTATAAGAGCTTAGACTATAGTCTAACTAGACTAATAGCCTAGTAGCCTAAGGTATAGGGCTAATAGGGGGGGGGGGACTCCCCCTTATATATAGTAGCCACTTTATTATAACCTCCCTACCTCTTCCTCTATAAGAGATTTAATTTAACCTTATATTAACACCTACTTATAGTAACTATAAGGCTAGTCCTTAATAATTTAATCTCTTTTTAGTTTTTTTTTAATTACTATAATAGAAGTAGAGTAGTCTTCTTAAGACACCCTAATAGACTATATTAAACTAGTATTACTAAATTAAACCCTACTTAAATAAAATAATAAACTATAAATAGAAATATAGTTTCTCTAAGAGTAACTCCTACTAACTAACTCCTAAGGCTAGAGTAGATATATATAGCCGCCCCTATAGGTAACTATTAGTATTAAACTAGTATTAATTTATATAACTATCTAATAGAAGCCCCTCCTATAGAGTAAAAAATTTAATAAAGATATAAAAACCTTTATAGGTTAGAAGTAAATAATAGAGTATAAACTAGAAATTAATAAAGCCTTTATTAGTCTATTATAAGCCTAGTTTATATATATATAATTAAGCCTTAGTCTAATTATATAGTAAAAGGTTATAGTCTACTTTAAAGTAGAAGGCTATTAAAGGGAATTAAACTCTTATATATTCTTAAGTTATCTTAAAATAGTATTTAGTAACCCTTACTACTAGGAGCTAGTAATAATACGTTTTAGTTTAATAAAATAGTAGGAAAAAGAGTCTTTTTTTTATTACTATATACACTTTAAATAGGAATTAGTAATAGTAGGAGGGCTAATATAAGTAAATAAAGTTAAGTTAAATAAGCTTTAACTTACCTTTTTTAATACTATAAGGAGTTTAATTATTAGTAAGTGGATCTCTTAGATAGATTATAATATAGTAGTATAAGATATTTAAATAATCTTTATAGACTTAGAATCCTTTTAGATTAAAAAGAACTATTAATTATAAACTAATAAACTATTAACCTAATACTAAATTAATACTAATAAGGATATAGTAATAATAAGAATTAGTGTATTCTATACTTATCTAAGGGCCCTTATAAAAGGGCTATAGTACTAGTTAAGGGAGTAAAAAAGGGCGCCCTAAGTG